CCACCTACTTGTTTGGCGGGTCCTGGATACTTTTGCGATGGTCATACCTACTGGCTGGGATGGTCCTATCTACAGCTGGGGGGGGGCTTCTCTACGTCTAGGGGCTAGGCCCGGTGCCGAGGGTATATCACATATGGGCATTAAGGCCTTGGGATCCGAACGGCTCTGTGCCCGAAGGCCAAAGGCCAAGCGCCGTTGCCAGCAAATCGCGCATAGGCGCTTGTCGGACAGTCACGGGCGGCGCTTGCTCGGCCGAAATCCTGCCGCAGCGCTGCTGTGAGCGGGCTGTCGTTGGCCAAATGCTTCGCGCGCCGCTGCAGCGGCGGCGCCGACCGATCGGTCGCCCCTGCGCGGGAATTGCAAAATGTGCAGGGGGGGGGGGGTCATCGGGCGCGCGGTGCCAGGGCGACCGTCGGGCCGAAGCATGGCCACCGCCGCATGGGGATGCAATGTAGCGGAGGGGGGGGGGGGGGGGCTGCGCGCGAGCGCCTGCGCCGCCGCAGCTGGGCCGCCGCGGAGCGGCCGTGGCGCGCCCCGTCGGGCGCGGTTGGGCAGCGGGCGTGGCGCCGCTGGGCAGCTCGCGGGCCGCAGCGGCGCGTCGCCGCGCCCTCCAGCGCCGCAGCTCGTCCGCGTTATCGGGCGTGGAGGCAGGGCGCAGGGGGCCCTTAGTTCGCGCATCCTTGCCCCTCATCTGTCCACCGATTGGGGCGCGCGGCGCTCTATCCTCGCGCGGGCGAGGCCATTGGGCATGGGTGGGGTCCGCGGCGCGAAGCGCATGGATGCGGGTCGCCCAATCGAGGTGAAGATGGCATCGGCACGTGACCAGCCCGACGCGAAGCAACGTGGAGCGATTAACTCGCCCGCCAGGAAGCAGCTGGCTCGAGTAACTCCCCCGACGGGAGGCGGGGGGCGGCGATACTTCGCGGGGCGACGGCAGATGCGCAGTCAAGACGACGGCGCAGTCAACCTGCGTAGTCAAGATTTTTAGTGGCGACAGCGACGTAGTCAACCCGCGTAGCCAAGATTTCTAGCGGCGACAGCGACGTAGTCAACTCTCGTAGCCAAGAGATTTAGCGGCGAAAGCGGCGTAGTCAACTCGCGCAGTCAAGACCTCTAGCGGCGACAGCGACGTAGTCAAGCGACGTGGTCAAGCGACGTAGGCAAGGGACGCAGTCAAGAGACGTAGTCAAGATACGTAGGCAGGATACGTAGGCAAGAGGCGTCGGCAAAACCAGAGGTGCACTCACCGCGGGTGGCCGTCGCACGGCGGTTGATCAACTTCACCAGGGCGAAGTAAAGCCGCCCGAATGAACCCAGCCGACGCAGCTACTTGGCGGCACTTAAGCTGCGCCAGGAGCCCCGAGCAGGAGCTCAAGCTTTGCCCTTCACGATGCACTCGGCAGCGCGGCCTCGCCAATGGGCTGTTCTGCCCGCGGCCAAGGCGATTGCCCCCGCGGTGGCGCACTGGAAATCTGCGAGCAGCGGCATCATAGTGGGGCGCAGTGTACGTCGTCGGCTGCGGCATTCCACTGCAGCGACATCTCAGGGGCAGCCCCCGCGCGGCCATGTATCGGGGCGCTGCCATCGCGGCAATTGCACGGCAACCCACGTGGCAACGGCTGCCGCGCCACCTTCCTCCAGCGCCCACAGAAACGCAGCGCTGCAATTTGGCATGGGCATGAATGGCTGGGCGCGAGGTGGCCAGCGTCGGGCTTCACAGAACCTGAAGAGCTTCTTCGAGAGCGCGTCAGGATATGGATGAGCGGGCCTGGCAGTTGAGAGGGGGGCAGCGCGAGCATGCATGAGCTGATTGGCACGGGCCTGGCTGCGACAGGGTCTGCGTATGACTGCGCATGCGTGACGTGTTTCGACGTTTCTGCCAGTGCTCGTGAAGGAGTTTGGGTGCGAGGTGCAGAGACCGGGCATGCCAGAGTGCGACATGCCGCGGACGGAGTGGGTGCGTCCGCGCGAATGTGACTGTGACTGCGCTTCATGGGGCACGGATGCGCATGCCGCGAGACACTGTGCGCGTGGCACGTCGCGACCGACTTCGAACGCGCGTCGGATTGGGCTACGTAGATCGGTTGTTCGAACGCAACGCGCGCCGAGCGGTCGACCTTGCAAACCTTGAAGCGCGCTTCGCGCGCCGAGCCGTGCGCAGTGCGAACCGTTTAGCGCGCTTCGCGCGCCGAGTGAGATCACGCGTTGAAGCGCGAATGCGCGTCGACTGATCGCGCGCGACGCCGATCTGGCGCAGGGTGGCCCTCCTGGACCTGAGTGCGAGTCAGTGCACGTTGCGTCAGGCTGTGCCTGACGTTAGTTGCGCGGAACGGAACGGGCGCGAGCGCGCGCGTTTCGGGTGGGCGGCGCGGCAATCCATGCGCAGGCGAGCGCATTCTCATGCAATGTGCCGTTTGGTTGAATTTAACTAAGTTCAACCAGTCGGTGCGTAGTGAATGTTTAAGTTATTGCGATATGTTGCCTGGCCGAGAGTGAGGTCGTGCATGCGGGCGGAAGGCTGAATGTACATCAATTGGCATCTGGGTTTCCATCCGACTACGCGCTGGTCGGTTTGGCGGGACTCGCAACTACTCGGCCTGGGTGCGACTAGACCGCGGCGCATTCGCAAACACAGTTGCGCGCAGTCGGGCGCGAGGGGGACTGGGTCGGCATGCGCGGCCGCGTGCGTGGTCGGGATAAGCGGAGCACGCGCGCGGCATGAATCGCGCGCTAAACCGAATCACGCGCGCGGTAACGCGCGAGCGCACATGCAAAAGGTTCAGGAAGGCCCCGACCCTTGTCAGCGTGCGAATAAGTTTAGCCGCAGTTATAACTGTTTTATCCATAGGGCGCGTAAGCGTATTTATCTAAGTGGCTCGCGCCATTCCGACGACCCTCAAGAAAACGTGATAGCGTATTGCGATCGTTGAAATTTTGGAATGGCATTCGGTTCGCCCCGCCACCGTGTCTGGTCTCGGCGACAGGAGCTTCTTGGATGCGTATTCTGAAGGTCCCTTGGGGTGCGTCTCAGGGGCGTCTTGGGAACGCCTGGGAAAGGGGTTCCTGGTGCCTCCTGGGGTCCTCTTGGCGGCGTGTTGGGGGCCCTTTAGGGGGTTTGTCGGGGCCTTTGCGGTGCGCCTCGAGGGCCCCTGGGGGGGGGAGGGGAAGGGGCTATCGGTGCCATCTTGGGGAGACAAGCTCAACGTGCAAATTTGTATGTCACCTACTGGGCTCCACTTGGGGCCTCCCTGGGGTTCCCTGGGTTCCCTCTGGGGCGTTTGGGAAGCCCTTGGGGTCGGGTGGTGACCCTCTCGGGTTTGCCAGGGGTTCTCTTGGGGGCTTAACTGTTTTTTGTTAAACGATTACGATGGTGATACTGATGCCTGTTGCGCTTCTGATATGGATTCGTCTGTAACTCCAAGGCTTATGCATTGGAACAAGTGGGATGTCTCACAGGAAACGCATAATATGTCAAGATGTGTTTTTTTCCAGAACGGCCAAATGCCTTTGTGCGCCCTGCATGGGCCGCAGCGTGTCTCTCGCCAGCGTGCAAGAGGCGTTCCTCCGTCGCCTCCCCCTCCCCCTCCTCGTGTCCCCCCCTTCCTCTTCGCGCTCCCCCCGTCATTCCTGTATTAGTCCTTCCCTGCCTCCTCCACCGCCTCCCTCGCCCTGTCATCCCCTCTCCTCCACGTCCGCCTCGCCCCAGTCCACCAGCATCCCTCCTCTTCCTTCTCATCCACCCTCCTCCCTCATCCACCCATCCACCCCCTCCTCCCCATCCACATTCCCCCCCCCCCCCTCCTCCCTCATCCCTCCTCTTCCTCCTCCTCCTCCTCCTCCTCCTCCTCCTCCGCCCCCTCATCACTCCCCGACTGCTGGCAGAGGGTCAGGGGTTGAGGGCGTTTGCCTAGTCCTTCCTGAGTGGCGCAAGCTTGTTATGTGTGCGTGCGTTTTGTTTATGTGCGTGCGTGCTTGTGGTTTATGAGGGTTTGGGCTGGGATCGCCCGCCTCGAGCTTGCATCACTCAGGCCGCGGCCTTAGCTTTAGCCTCCGCTTTGTGGGCCTTCGCACTCCACTTCGCCCTGCCAGAATCCATATGCTGCTTTGCCAATGGTTTGTTCACGGATGCATGGGCGCCGTCAGGCGTCGGCTCCACCTCGAACAACCATTTAAATGTGTCCTCATCCGTGCCGCACAAGTGCCCTGGCACACAGATTGAACATCCTCTGTGACGGTAGCAGGTTATCGTAACCGAATTGACTGGCCTGCCCCGCTGTACACGCAAAACCTGCCCACCACCTAGATGATAGTAACCTTGAGGGCTCTGATCTGACAAAAGGTGCCAAGGCTCCTGAGGGGGATCTGGCGGGGGAGGGGGTGGTGGACCATCCGTGGAAGACCCCGCAGCTGGATCCCCTGGGACCCCTTCGACCTCCTCCAAAAAAAGAAAACGCTGCCTCGGCCATTGCTGCGCCCTCTTCCTCGTCTAGAAAATCATCGGCAGGCGGGCGACCATCTACGTGGAGAGGGCCTGGGACCACTGGTGGATGTTGCCATTCGGCCATGTAGTCGGGCAGCTTCCCCCCCATGTGGACGGCCTCGAGCTCCTCCACCTCCTCGATCTCAGACTGGCAGTCCGAATCAGCCATGTCGAGAGCACGCTCATCATGAAGGTCAGGCGGGTCCTCGCGCACGAATGGCTCGTCGGCGATGGGCAGGGGTTCTTCGGGTACTCCAGGCGGCAGGGGGCCCTCAGGCAAAGCACCTGCGACTGCACGTCCACGTCCGCGCCCGCGTGCTCGGCCTCCACGTCCTCTGTTGCCACGTCCTCGGCCCCCGCTTTGCCGTGCAAGATCTCGGTCTGCCATCGCCTGGGCCTCCTCGCCGAAGGGGTCGCCCTCGCGCATCTTCGGATCGCCTCCACCTCGACGATAAAATGCCAAAGGTTTCTTCATGCTTGGATCCCAGAGGCGGCCGATGAGCTTCAAACCTATGATTTTTTATCTCCTCAGCGTCCCTGTGTCGTGGCAGATCTCGTAATCGGCGATGTACATGTCCATATGCTGCAGCTTGTCGATGAGTAAGTTTATCCATTCGTCCGACGTGTTGGTATCGATAGCTCGATGCCTGACGCTGACCCTGCTCTGCCGCTCCGCGATATTCACCCAAGACGGTAGCACCAACTCCTTGAGCACAGAGTGGCCGCCGCCCCGCGCTGACCATACCCGCGAGAAAAACTCCCCCAGTCCAGGACCGCCAGACCCCCGATTTAACGAAACGTCGGGGCCAGAAAAAATAACTGTTTACAGGGGAGCGGGCGCCGCGGGCGGCGAAAAATCGGGGCCCGATACATATATTTTTACCGGGCAACGGGCGGCGCGGGCGGCGGCCATTCCGAGCCCGACGCGTCTCCTCCGACACTACGTCGGCATGCTTCTCGAACTCGTTCAACGTCACGTCGAAAACGTGCGGGTTGAAGGTGACGTCGGTGACCAAGCTCGCAAACCTCATGTGGCCATTACCGTGGACAGCTCGGCCTGCAATGATCAACATTACGTCCGAGGCGTCATCCTCGCCCTTGCCAGCATTGATAGACAGCAAGAAATTGTAGATGCCCTTTTCCACGACATCCCAGGCTGCTGGAACCCTCGACCCAGGTCTGTCGGCATTCCTCGCCGAACGTGACATACCCCAAGGGTCGATCTCGTCTGTGTCCGTGAACTTGGTCTTGAAATCTGGGGTGGCCCTCCTCTCGACGAGGTCAACGTCGAACACGGCGCTGTCCTTCGGCCGCCCGTGCTGAACGATGTACTGGCAGAGCTCGTCTGGCGTAAAGGGGCTCGCTCTGCTGCCGCCTCCCCACCACAGTTCGTAAGGTTGTTGTACTTGCTCATGTTGATGCTGACCTCCACTATGCCGCCAATCAGTGTAGGCTTCGGCGTAGACATCTTGATCTGCATCTGCATAGAGCTCCCTGAACTCCTCGCCGTGAGCTAAGCATTCGCTCCAGGTCATCCGTGATCCTTTCGACTTCCTAGCATCTTCGAGGTGCCGATTCTTCGCCAACATGCATCGGCTAAGCCCGCGTTTGGTGCCATCGCCATCGGCCTCTTCACTGGCCGCGCGGTCTCCTGGTAGCAGGTTCGGGTTCGGGATGCGCGCGACGATGGGCTCCTCGAAGTTCCTGTGCTCCGCTGCGGGTGCTGCTGGGACGATGGCTTGCTCGTCTGCGTTCGCAGGCGCATCCTCGATCGCCATCGGAGCAGGCGCATCGCCGAGGGCAGGTAGAACTGGCACCGAACCGAATGAAGCGCCGTCCAATAAAGGAATGTAAGTGACCGCCTCCACTGACGACGAAGTGCCCAACCTACGTACTGCAAGGGGGGCGTCGCCGCCTTGCTTCTGGTGGATGGCCTTGACCTGGTCCAAGAAATGTTCACGCTCTGCGTTGACCGCGTTCCTGCCTGGAGCGCGCACTGGGTGGCGAGCTGCGTATAGCGCGTTCAGCCTCTCGATCATGTCGGTCCCGTAGCAATGCGCCCTGAAGTCGGCAGCAAGAACCGTTCGGCAGTGCGTTGATAACAATGCAGCGTCCGACGGGAAGAGGTTGCGAATCCCCCTGGTGTAGCAGTCGATCATGTAGTCAGGTGCGTCGAGTGCCTCACGAGCTACCCTCTTCTTGTCTGCTTCCGTGGAGCGGCCGTATGATAAAGGGTAGAGCATATAAGGCCAGGCGCTGAACCGACTCTCGTACCTGCGATGCATGACCGTGGTCAGCTTTACAATCTGCCCCCTGGCCCATCTTGAAAAGACCTGGTCGGTCAAGGGCGCGCCAAGAATATCAAGTAGCATCCACGGGCGCCGCGTACGATCTCCAGTGTTCCAAGAATCTAAAAGGCCCAGCATGTCCTGGCTGAAGCGCCCGATGACGGAGTCCCCGCCGAGGAGCGTATCCAATTTGCTCTTCTCCTCGGCCTTATCCTTGATCGCATCGCCGAGAAGTGGATACAGTAAGTTGCCATCGCTGGCCTCGAGAACGGCCGTGAATACAACTAACTTGTACATGTTGCGGTCGCCGGCGTAGTAGTCCCTTACCTTGTTGGTCCGCACCCGAATGATGTGCTTGAAGAACGCGTCGGTACCCTCCTGATCCACGCCGAACTGCTGCCCGTCCAGTCCGTCGAGCTCGCCCTCTTTGATGGTATCAGCGAAGCAGTCCAGCCCAACTCTATGTAGGATTATGCGTACCAACGTGCGCTTGAAGCTGGGAAGTAAATGAGTCCAACGGCTTTCGGCTGGCCGCGGATCCGCGCTCCCGTAAAGAGCGTGGACTGCTGCAACCGTCGTCTTCTCCACGGGGTCCTGCAGCGATCTGCAGCACGGGCGCTGCAGGGAGGCGCCCCACCACCAGTGCGTCCACTTCTCTGCCGTAAGGCTGCCGTTGGCCATGACGGTCAAACCTTTCAGGTCCTTCAGAAGCTGCGACTCGCCGTCGCCCTTGCCGCCCTTGCCTGGTCGTCTGTGGTGACCAGCGCTGAAGTCGTAAAGGAAGTCCGCCACTCGTTCCAGCGTGTCGGGGAATGGAGGGGCTGGGCCAACCTCCCGATGAAGTTGAGACTGAACGATATTCTCGATGCCGTGGATGCACCGCGAGAGGTTGCCTCTGTATCTAGACATCGACGCTATCGAATAGTGTCTCATGGTGTGTGGGCGCAGTCCTTTGAGTGCCAGCTTGCCGCGGTGGTGTGAATGTATACCGCACGTATCTGGAAAATACAGCAACTTCTTGCCAAGCTCGGGCAACGCTTCCTTAAACTGCTGCTCGGCGCCCGCCCACATCTTCATGATGCTCACGTTGCTGCTGGCCTTGTCGCACATTGGCATGAACGTCAGGCTCGATACTGCGCCGAGCGTCTCGGTCAGCTTCGCTACCTTTTGGAAATCCCACTGCTCTGGCATGCCCTTCAGAATGCCAGGAAGTAAATGCATCGCCTTCGTGCCGCCGACCTCCGTGGGCTGAGATACCCAATACGTTTGAAACTGCCTCCCCTCCTTGCGGCTGAGGTTGACGAGGCTCAGGTTGACGGTGGTGCGCTGCACCAATGTTGGCTGTGCAACGTTCTTCCTCAGTACGCGGTACTTCTTCGACGGGCGCCACGCCTGCTTCACCTCCACCTCGTCCCACATGTGTCCTCCAGACGCATGAACTATGTTGTCGCCGGAGAGCTCGATGGCCACCGCGCTCTTCTCGAAGCAATGCTTGAGAGCCTTCTCCTGCCGCAGCCGAGCAACTGCACAAGCAACTGTCTGGATGCGCTTGTGCTTCACTCCGATGTTGATGTTGCGTTTGAGCTCGAGGAAGACGGCCCGCGTGGCCAGCTGGAAGTCGCCCGCCTGTCGATGACCAAACTCGCCTGCACCCATCGACCCCCCCCCGCGTTTCCCCCTAAAGTCCGATGGGGGAGGGGTGCATGGGGGCAAGGGGCGATGGGTGCCAGGTGAGTTCGGTCATATCCGAGACGCCTCGACCTTGCGCTTCCTCCCCAGCGCCGTCCCAGGTCTCCCAGTGATCAGCTCCGAGCCTGGCACCATGGTGGAAACGTTCCTGATGATGGCCTCGTGGGAAGCCTTCTCCGCCTTCACGAGGTGGGCAAGGCTTCCTCGCGCCTGCATCTGCTCATCCGCCACCCCCCCACCTCGCCAACGCAGCTTGCTGGGTTGGCGAAGCGACGGTGCGGATGAACCGTCGCAGGTGCGCTGAAGCCCACCACCCCAACCTTCAACTTCTGCTTGAGCTCCTTCACAGCTTTCTTCAACTTGACCTCCCTCGCGTGGCCGACGCCCTCGGCCGACCACGATGGCTTCCGTCTCGGTGCTGCTTCTGCTGCTGGTGGCGCCTCCTCCACCTCCAACTCCTCGAACTGGTCCAACGCGAAAGGGAGCTGCGCCTGCTGAGCTGCTGCTGCTGCTGCTGGAGCTGGCGCCTCCTCCACCTCCAACTCCTCGAACTGATCCATGTCCACGTTGCTGTTGTCGCCAGTTGTGCCGAACTCGCTGCCAGTACTCGTGCCAGTAGTGTCGATGCCGCTGCCAGTAGTGCCGATCTCGCTGCCAGTAGTGAAGATGTCGCTGCCAGTAGCGCCGATGCCAGCGGTGTCAGAGTCGCTGCCACCAGTAGTGCCGATCTCGCTGCCGAAAGTGTTGTTGCAGCAATCAGGCTTGTCGACGAATATGGAGGCGTGCGCCTTGGAGATGCCGTCTATGTCGAACGAGTCGACGAATATGGAGGCGTCGGCCTTGGAGATGCCGTCGCGGTCGAACCAGTCGACGAATATGGAGGCGTCGGCCTTGGAGATGCCGTCGCGGTTGAACGAGTCAAGCCTTATGGAGGTGCCGAACTCGGAGAACCCAAGAACAGCAAATATATGGATAACAACTGATTGACTAATCAACATCGCGGAGGACTCTCAGCGGAACCACTCATCGCTGGTTTGAGCCAAAACGGTTTCGGAAGGACCCCATCGAAAATTACAATGGGTGGGGTTTCGGAAGGCCCCCATCGAAAATGACACTGGGTGGGGTGAGGGCCCTGCTAACCAAGACCCCCTCCATAAGGCTCACATCGATAATGTATTCATCATGCCTCCCCCTGTACATGTGGGGAATGGCCAATGACCCCCTCGAAAACGACTACAATATTTAGCATCTCTCTGCACCTACAGTGTCCTCCCTCATGTTTTCCCTCTGTCCCTCTTTACTCCACCCCCTCCTCCTCCCTCTCCCTCCTCTCGCCTGGATTGGTGCCCATCCCTCCTACTACCCCCAATATCTATGTACATCCCCCCTTCTCCCTCATTCCCCCTCCGTAAACCCTTTACTCGTGGACGAGGAGGAGGAGTATGAGGAGGAAGAAGAAGGATGGGGAGGAGGTTGAAGAATATTTTCAGCGAGTGACGAAGTTGATCAGGAAATGTCCTCACCAAGATCTAAGTGCAACACCAAGTGTCGCCCCCCCTGGGTCCGAAAACCAACATGAGAACCTAACTGTCTTCACCCCGTGTGGGGCTCCCCCAACAGAGCCCGATCTCTGACCGACAGACAGACTCAAATTTTGGGCGAGAAACTAACAACTAATCAAACAAATACTCCCAAACTGCTCAGAAAAAAACCATAAAAAAATAGTCCCCAGGCTATTTCTATACTATTTTTGGACACCCCTCCTGTAAAGGGGCAGGCCCGACTTAACCCTAGCGCGGTTTGCAGGGATCCAGACTGTCGGGGGCGCGTAAGCATGGAGTGGCGATCCCATGGATTGGGCGCGCGGTCGCCAAATCCATGGATCGGGGGAGGGGCCCTCCCCCTCGAATGCGACCGGTGCCGCCTCGCTCGGCGGCGGCCATCCGCGATTTGCCGTGGAAACGGGACCCGCCACTAATCCACGCCCCCTTGATCCATGTTTGCGATCGCCTGACCCTGCCCCCTGGCGCGGTTTGCGGGGGCCCCGACTGGAAAGCTCCCCCAGCAGGCCGCAGCGTGTAGCATTAGATCGGGCGTGTGTCCTCCAAAAGGCGGATTTTGGACGGAAGATTATACATAGTCAAATTATACTCAAAGCTGGTCAAAAGTGGTAAGAGAAACTTGTCCGCAGACTATTGTTTCACTATTTTTGGATTTCCCCCCCGACTTACGTCTAGCATGCGACGGCAGGTCTTGCCATTGTTGCTCGGAGGTCGCGATTCTTGGAGAAGTCCCCTCGGATTCCCGGCGCGGGCATCTCCAGGCGCCGCGCTTGCGGTTTTCTTCTTCCTTCGTGGGCGGCCAATAGGGGGGTGTCCAAGAGGGCGGGGTGCACGTAATGAAATTAGAAGAGGCACCGTGAAATCTGGGGAAATATCACGGCCCCTGCCATGATATCCCTCCCCTTCATAATCGACCCCCCCCTCTTTGCCACCCCCGATTCCTGGTTGCGCCGTCTGCGCGACCGGCATGGGTCAACCGAGGTCCCGGCCATGAGATTTCTCTGCGGGGCGCGGTCGCCCCCGCAGGCAGTTGGCGAGGAGACCGAATGGCCAAGCCGCGCATTTGGCCTTCACTTCGGCACGGAGGAGCTACGCGCTTGTCAACGAAGTGGTCGGGACCCCGTTTGACAGCAGCGACGGCCCCCAGGTCCCCAGGTCGCCTCTGGTAGTCGGGGTGCGTCGGAGGACGGACCTGCCCTGGGAAACACGGGGCACGTTCGTGAACAACCCTGCTGGCAGGCGTGTCCGTGACGGGCGCAGTGGCCCAGCCATCGCGCATCGTACAGGAGGTTGGCCAGCTCCACTCGAGCCGGGCAATGGTGAGCCACGCTCTACCCACTGGGCCTCCTCTCTGGAGGGTCTGCGCGTGGTCGCACTTTGGCGTTGGAGTCGAGACCGGCGTCTTTCCGCACTGGCCTCCCGAGGCCGAGAAGGCTCCCCTGCGCGTGACAGCAGCCAGTTCGATGGCGCGCCCAAGGACGACGAGAGCGTAGTCAGACGGCACACTATGAGACCCAGGGTCTTTATTTGACCCGAATGGCCGCGAGCGCGGTGCTGTTGTAGAGATTTCTGGTTCTCTGGCTGGGCGCTTGACAATCCGTGCCAAAAGGTGCACGTGCTGGCCACGAGGGGCCTGACGGACCGTGCTGACGCATCCCTGCCTTCGGGGCGGCGTCCGACGCGTGGCAGACTGGTGACAACCCGGCCAACCCTGCCGGCGGTGGCCGAGCTTCGGTTTCGGCATGGCCAGGATGTGGTGCGACGCTGACGTAGCCTCCTACAAACTTCACCTGGCGGTGAGCTTGCAGTGGCTGCCCGTGGAGCTGAAAGGAAACCGCGTGGCAGTGGAACTCTTCGCCTACGGCCCAGCCGACCACCTTGCCAGGGTAGGTCTACGAAGAGGACGGTCTCGTATACCGCCTGTCTTGAACGATGTCGGGCGGGCACACCGCATGCAGCGCCCACTTAAGGCAGATATCTGCGACGATGTAATCGAAACGCCTTTGCCGGTCGAACGCTGGCCCTGCGAAGGGGACTTTGAGGTGGCGTGCGTGCCCGACCTGGAGGGCCAGGGTCGTACGGACGTCCCCTGTCGTGGCGCGCGGGGCCGCCCTGAAGCTAGTTGGGTGGGTTCACTGAGCTCCCCAGGCAGCCAAGCTGCGGTAGGCTGGATCAGGCGTGCATCCATATGGACATGACGGAGAAGAGCCTGTGGTCTGTGGGAAGTTCACCTTTTCCTTTCTGCTGGCATGGGTTTGGTATGTGCGACCCATGCGTTGCATGGTCCTCAATGCTTCAGCGAAAAGGTGGAAGACTCCGTCGAGGACGGCTTTGACCCCTTAATGGTCAACCCGTCCCAGGCCCCTGGCCTCGTCCGCCGGGAGAATGCTCATTGAATGGATGAGAGTCTCGTCAGTCGGCGCGAACGATGGCGCTAGTGTTTGCGCTGGGAATTTTTGGTGGAAATCTGTTTTGAAGTCTTCCCACGCGGGGGGGAGGTCGTCAGAGCAGGAACCCGTGCTCCAGTATCTCACCAAAATGGGCTCCCACGCGTGCGCCATGAGTTTGAGCATAACTCTGGTGCCGGCCAAGATCGCATTCTGGTGTGGCTTCAGCGGGGCATACTCGTCAGAGCCATTGTCGGTGTCCGAAACAGTCTTGCTGTGGGGAAACCGAAAAACCCGATACCGCCACTCCCCAGACGTCGTGGGGTGCGTTCTGACCAGGATTTCGAGGCGAATCCGCCGTTGGCAACGAGGGCCTCCGAGGAGGCCCACGAGAGGGAAAACGGACGAAGGGTGGAGGTATGGGTACCTTGTCCTCCTCTAATGCTGGGGTGGTGGTAGACGCATCGCTGGCATGCGACGGGGAGTCACTGCCGTCTCCGTCACAAGCTGGGCAAGCGGTTTCCGCTTCCTCGTTCCCGTCGGTGCCTGGTGGCGCGTGCGAGCCCTCTATGCGGGGTGCGGAACTATATAGCGTTTGAACTGCCAGCCGTTTTGGCCCATCTGCTGTTCGCTCTGCCGCCGTGGCTAGCTCGCACACCGCGCCTCCTGAGCTGAGCGCCAAGTGTAGGCCATCAGGTCGTCGAGTTGAACATTGGCAGTGGGGTTCGTCGCTGTCGCAGAATGTGGGAACTCCGTCAGGCTGGTGGCGCGGTGGCGTTTGGCGAAGACCTTAACCGAAACGCAAGTGCTCTTGATCTGCGCCCCGAAACCAGGATGGCTGATTCCGTGAACGTCCCAAAACTCCTTGCGGGACGACAGGCCCTTCTTGATGGCCCTGACTTGCCGCAGTAACTTGTTGAGACCGATAGTGGCCCTACTGGCCGCTCCATGCTCAAGATGTACGCACGGCACGGCTCAGGCTCGTTGGAAGCGAGGCTCCTTACCGTGCCTCGTGGGGGGGAGAGGGCGAGCGAGAGACAGGAGAGGATAGCTGGGCGATCCGAGAAGAAGGCGATCACGAATTAACGAACATGTCTTTGGACGCCCGAAATGGTTACGGAAAAACGGGCACAGTGCCCAACAACAGATGCTGCCCCAAACCAACGGCGGCCGCTGTTGGGCAGGCGGCCTCCTGTCTCAAATGCACAAGAGGCCGCGGCGGCGCGGACAGCGAACCCTGCTCAAAATGAACAGGAACTGCTGTTGGGCATCGCACCCATTCTTTCCGTACCCGTTTCGCTCGTGCCGAATATCTGCCTCCGCGCCCTCGAGGTCTGGACTATGGGGCGCGCCTTCCGCGGCTGCGCAATCTTCCGGGCACGCTCCGCGCGGGGCCTCTCCGCGCACCGAGGGCGCCCCGCACCCGCGGGGCCGCGGCACCGGGGCCCAGATCACGAGGCCGCGGGTACACGGACATGCTTCTCGCCCACGAGGCGAAGGAGAAGAAGGACAGGCTCGCTGTCCCTGGAGGCACCCTCGCTCCAGGAGGCGTTCCAGCAGCTTCGCCTCGTCGAGGGCACGCGGGGAGATGCTGGGATCGTTCCCCGGGGGCCTCTCCGACCTCCTCCCGCTCCTCCGACCGAGCAGCGCCGACTGGCACGGCCCCCAGACGACGTGGAGCAGAGTCCACTGTGGGATTTACAATGGGAGCTCGACCACAGGGAAGCGTTCCTCAAGGAACCCGGCCCTGAGACCCCAGGACGTCCCTTGATACTTTGGCATGGGAACGTCACGCTCTCGATCGTAGAACCATCGAAACCCCAGAGAACCAGGCACCCTGGAGGCAAGCAGGGTGTTTCTTGGCATGGGTTTTCACTGTATTGCAAAACGGCCCGAGACGTGGAAACCACTGTGGGACTTATACGCTAAACAACGACCCTATTACCCGGTGAGTGACGTGCGCGTTCGGAAACTCGCGAGGCCGCGGATGGAACGGACCGAACACCTACACCCACCGACGTGCTCTTCGAGTACGTGGTGCCGATGGGG